AAACAGCCCCTAAGAATTGTATAATTTATATTTTATACATATTTATAATTTATACAACATTTTATATGTATCTTAGTTCCTACTCACTGGAGCTCAGTAACGGTTTGTTCATCTATTTAATAGGCATATATTTATTAAACACTATGTGTGAGGCACTGAGCCAGATACTGCTCATACAATCAATATAAATAACAAAGACATGGTCTTTATCCTCAGTTTTCAGTTTGCTAGAGGAGAGAACCACAATTCCAGCTATTCCCCTTCTGGGGTTATCCAAAGAACATGAAAACACTAATTCGAAAAGATACATGCAACCCCTATGTTCACTGCAACATTATTCACAATAGCCAAGACTTGGAAACAACCTAAGAGCCCATCAATGGATGAATGGATAAAGAAGATACGGTATCTATACACAATGGAACACTACTCAGCCATAAAAAAAGATGAAATCTTGCCATTTGCAACAACACAGATGGATGTTGAGGGCATTATGCTAAGTGAAATAAGTCAGACAGAGAAAGACAAATACCATATGATTTCACTCATATGTGGAAGATAAAAACAACAATAAACAAACACATAGACAGAGAATAGACTGGTGGTGACCAGAGCGGGAGGGGGATGTAGGGGTAAAAGGGCACATGTGTACAGCAAAGGACTTTAGGTGGTGAACATGACGCAGTCTACACAGAAATCAAAATATAATGATGCACACCTGAAATTTATATAATGTTATAAACCAATGTTACCTTGGGAAAAAAAAAAAAGAACCACTAGGTATTCAACTATAACACAATATTATGCTAAAAGCACAAAGAGGCAAAGTATAGAGTGCTGGAGAATTCACTCAAATCACACCCATGAATGTGTGTGGGAAAAATCATGTATTTCCTTATCAAAATTTTGGGGGTAGAGGTGGAGAAAAACCTAAAGCAGAGGGATAAATAAATGATAATTCTGACAACAAATAATAACCAATACTAAAGGTTACATATGCCATTTAAGTTTCTATCAAAAATGGTGATTTAGACTCATCTATGAAATGATCACCATAAGAAATAAAAGCAATTTACCAATTTGAGACCCATGTGTGAGTTAGGTATAAAAATATGTAACCTGCGGGGCCGGCCTAATGGCATAGCTGTTATGTTCGAATGCTCCGCTTTGGCGGCCTGGGGTTTGCAGGCTCGGAGCCATGCTGTGGTGGTGTCCCATATAAAGTAGAGGAAGATGGGCACGGATGGTAGCCCAGGGCCAGTTAGCTCAGGGCTAATCTTCCACACACACAC